TCTCCAGGTTGACACCCACTTTATCGTCTTTGTCGAAATTGACGGGAGGCTCGTCGAACTCGTAAGCCTTAATTTGCTTCACCCACATCTCAAGCGTAGTAATTTACAGCCAAATGAACACCCCGCGATTCCCCTCTTTTTCCTGTGCAGGACGGAAGGAAGGATCATCCCGTTATTCATTGCACGACCAATCCAGCCAGTTTCAAATACGTAATGAATTGCCCCACTGCTTCGCACATGCGAGTGTGCTCACGTTCCAACAGGGGTACAACTCCGATCGACATTTCCCAAATCAGGCGGACGCACCACACTTTTCAATTATTTTCCACTCCTCTCCATCGCAGGACACGGGAAATGTAATAAAGAAGAAGTTCATAGAAAAATGTCAAGATGACAACAGATTTTCAGCCTTAGCAGTTGTAGCAAGTGATGTTGTGTGAGAGGAGTTTTCTCCACACTCTAATCGATGTGGCGCATAAAGATCACCTCGTTCTTCCTCCTCTCACCGCTTAACTTCCCTTTTTCATATGCGGATACCTCTTCGTTAAATCATTGGACGATCGCGAATAGGTGTATATGTATTTGCGTGCGTGCATGTAACGGAAAAGTTACGTTTCCCTTTGATGAAGCGGCTCCTGTGCCTTTTTTTTTTCTTATCTTTTCTTTACCCCTCAGGGGGCGCACGTGCAGGAGAGGGTATACTCTCTTCTTCATCTGAAGGAATCCCGCGAATGTTGCAAAATTTGTACAGTTTGTGCATTTTTTTACATAATTTAAAATTTTTTTTTTTTTTCCACCAAGGTACGAATATACACCGTTAGTGCTCGTCATTCCACCCCTTGGTGCGCCGTAATTGCCATATTTTCATTTTCCCATTTTTGCATTTTTCCATTTTGGCGAGATGCTAACAGGGGTAGCGTAAAACGAGGAACTCGTTAGCAGTAATGCCCATTCCAATGGAGGATTATTTTTTGCAGAAAATGTAAGCTTTGGTAATATTTTACGGGTTGTTGCTCACCCTCTTTGTGTGTGTGGGGAAGTTGCATACATGGGTGCAAAGAAAAACATAGGAATGTGGAAGCACCCACAAGTTTAAGTGTTGTATTCTTCTCTGCCGATGCACACATGCAGAGCTTAGCTTTCCATGATGGGGCCCGCTTTTCCTTGCCTTCAGGTGTTGCACGGATGAGTGAAGGTTTGAACTCATCCCATTCTTTGCGTCATTCTTTGGGGTTGTTAAACTCCATCTGGTTAACTTATGCGTGAACACGCCTGCATAAACCATTTGGAAAAAAAGAAAAAAAAGAAGAAGATCACATATTAGTAAACCTACATCACTACATCCTTCGCATGTACTGCAAAAGGAGCAAAGATTAATGCTAACACATGCCTGTTATTTTGGACGAAAACTATGGACATATGATATAACTGATTAACGGAAAGGATGACAAAAAGGACTCTTCGGATTGCTCATGCATTTCTTCTTTCTTTTTTCATGCGCAGAATAATCGCGCCAGGGAAATAAGAAATGTGCCACTTTCAGTGGGCATTCGTGCATGCAAAGGAAAAAAAAAAAAAAAAAAAAGAGCAATTTGCTTTACTATATTATCTGTACCACAACACAGAAATAAATAACTCCCATTTCCATTGCAACCATGTCGAACTGTTTCAGAACGCAAGTTTCACGTTCTTTGATTTTTTCTCCCCCACGCCATGCATTTATTTTTTTTCCTATGCGAATGACACACTGTCCTAAGCCGTGTGCTGCACCATAAAAATGTTGTATAGACTGTATTAATTTTTTTTTTTCCTTTTTCACCTACGAGGATTCGCGAATGGTGAACGGTGAGTGATACCCTACTCTCTATCGTTTAAGCGAAGGAATACGATGATACGTACGATGTCGCCATTCCTATCACCTGCACTTTTCGCACATGTAAAATGCTTCCCGCATCGCCCCTGCATTTGTTCCATGTGAAGCCCCGCGCAAATTAATCACCACGTATTTAGCTGCATTCTTACACTACATATCAGGGAGATATAATCTACCATTTGACGCAAGTGTGTTTATTACACAAGGGCAGAAATGCTTATTCCTCCCCTTTTTTTTTCCTCCATATATGAGGCAAAACAAACTGTGGGAAAAATAAAAAACAAAAACTCCGTCCTGTGAGAAAAATCGGGTAGAATTGAGCTACACTTAATTATATCTCTTTCCCCTTGTGCGAATAGAAGTAATTAATAAAATTTGTCCTCACTTTTTTTTTTTGATGATATTTCTTCTTGGAGAGTCTTGCACTGTGTATCATTATTCATTGGAAGAGTGGAAAGTCCCCTTCTTCTCCCCCCTTTGACATTCGCATGTATGTGTCCTGTTCTGTGCCCCCCCTGCCTCGTGATGCCAGGTGATGCCGCGACATCCCACCTAATCCCCCGTGAAGTTTTCCCAAATTGAGTTCTTCCGTTCGTGTCCGGGTGGACGCCACGTCTTTTATTTATATTATATATTCCCTAAATTTATTTACCTTCCCCGTGGCAATTGCTCTCCTTTTAGTGAAAATGTCCTGCCCCTCCTGTGCATGCACTTTTGTGTAACAGTTTTGCCTCTGCTATCCCTAGACGAGGTTTTCCCTGTGAAAGGCTGCTCTACTCGCCATTTTGGAATTGGCTGATTTTTAAGAAGTTTCATCGGAACGAAGGGGAGGGGGTGAAGGTTCCCTTTGAGTGCTTCCAGAAAAGGGTCCTTTTGGGGTGAAATCAGGCTAGTCCAGGTGGACACATCAGAGGAGGTTGTTTGAGTGAAGACCATCACGTGGAGACTGCGCAGGACAAACTGCCGAGCGCGAAAGTGCATGCGTGTGTGCAGCCCAACCGATAGGGACTTCGCCAGAATAGCTGGCTTCCTAAGCAGCTTCCTTCCCCAATACCTGCTTCCCTCCCTGCTTCACCAAAAAAGCGATGGAGCAAAACGAAAGCGACGAATTGCTTAACCTACAGATAAGCGGAAAGGAGCCTCCCCACGACGACCACCACACATGTAAAGAAATAAAAATCATTAGAAACATAAAAAATATGTCTGGCACGAATTCTCTTAACTATGAAAGTGTGAAGGGGGAGATCAAAATTAATATGAACGGCAAGGTGAAATTGGTTCAAAGTTGTGCAAGAGAAAATTACCCCAATGGGGGGAACATACCAACAATAGACTACATGGAACATACGGGATGCAAAATCAAAGAGACTAGTAACGATATTAGAATGAAGCAAAGTAAATGGAAAACTCTGTTTGGTAAAATCAGAGCGTGTAGTGGAAAACGAGCTAAACAGACGAATCAGTCCAATCCAAAGGAAAGCAACGAGATAAATCTGCCCTGTGTAGAGAAAGAAAGAAGAAACCGCTATGTAAGAGGTGACACAACTGATGGAACCATTAAAAACATGAGACAGCTCCGCGTCGATCTGCAGTTGTTCCTCAGAAATGCGAAGCACCTTAACGAAGCCCTCGTCAAAAGAGACACTCTCCAGTCCAATCAAATTAAAAAGGAAAACTTAAACATAGGTGAAGAAAATGTTATGACCACAGATAAGGATCTCCCCCACTGTGCAGGTAATGCGGCCAAAGAATTCATAAAGAATGAACAATATGCAGGGAAAGGAGAAATGGACAGAGAGAAGCCACAAAATGAGACCCATCAGCAGTACAGCCAAAGTTTTACGCAAAGCGAGGGGGAGACTCTCCAAATGGCTACAAAGGAACTTCAAAATGAATCCTCACTTGGTTGTTACCAAGATAGGGTTGCCACTGGGGAGGGGACTAATACTAACCCTGTGAATAAACCCAATTCGGGGCTCGTGGGTAACCAAAAAAGGAGCGAAAGGAAGTGCAGACAAAGGAACAAAAATCGCAACAGGCGCACCCTCAGGAGTGGGAGTGATGGCAATAACGTTGGAGGAGCTCCTCACGTAAGGAAAAGAATTAAACGGGACATTTATTCCGATACGCCACTCAGAAGAAATGGCGAGCAGACCTGCAAGGAGAGCGCAGGAGGGGTGAAGAAGCTCCCCCGAAGTAGCAGCAGTGGGAGCCGAGGAAGCAGGGGAAACAAAGAAAGCGGAGGCAACCAAGGCAACAGAGACGACGGAGATAACCGGGACAATCCGGACAGCCGAGGCATCCGAAACAGCCGAGGCATCCCCGGAAACCCCCTCTACGACCACGCCGAAGACATTATTGACAGGGTTAACCTAAACGGGACGCAAACTCGCGCGGACCAGAGCAGCACCAACAAAAGTGACCCCCCGAAAAAAAAAAAAATCAGTGTTCACACCAAACGGGCGCACAACATAAAAGACATAATCGACAGAAGCGTTTTAACAAATTTTATTAAGTGCGTTAATAAGAAATACATGAACGGAAGGAAAAATGAGCCCAATAAAATTCCACCACAGGAGAGGAATGGAAAGCACGATAAGGGGAAGTTACTACCTGTATGCACTCGAATGTGTTCGAAAAGGGGAGTGACTTATGAAAGGAAAGAGGGAGACCATCTTGAGGCCGCCGAGGATGATGAAGATAACGCGGATGGTCCTCATGGCCATTCTGAGGAGGATGACCGGTGTGTGCGGGATGGCCAGTCTGTGCAGGATGACCCCTATGATGAGGAGAGACACCACCATGGAGGTGACTCTAATGTGCGAACCGCCCCGTATGACCGCCGCTACACCGCTGAAATGGAGAAGACGAAGAATCCATCCAAAAGAGACGCCATAACTCAGGTTCGCCTGAATAAGGCAAAGGATGATCCAAAAAGAGCACCCAAAAACAGAGACGCCTCAGGCTATGTGGAAAGCGGCTTCGCCAATTGTCCTATCACATCTGCCACTGGCGCCAAAACGATATGCAGCATGGTGAATAGGGTCACACAAATGCAAAACAGGTTCATCCAATTGAGCAGCTTTAAGAATGAACCTTGTAGACATTCGGGAAGCGACTACAATGATAAGCTTGCCACACAGGAGGAAGGAAATCCCTGCAGAGAAGCTATTGTAGAAAGGAAGGAATCAAATAAAAATGTTTCCATGGAAACGGAGAAGGCAAACCCCAATTTAGCCTCTAGACACAGTTATGAAGATGAGTCTTCTGCTCTTATTAGGAAGTACCAGGAGCTTCTCCTTCAGAATTTTTCCAAGCCCCGCCATGTAGAGAAGAAAAAATCTGAAAAATGCAGGTATTGCGTTTTGCACATTCTGAACCAGCACAGGGGGGAAGACGGGGACGGGCAATGTGGGGGCCAGAGTGGGAACCAGAGTGGCGACCAGAGTGGTAACCAGAGTGGTAACCAGAGTGGTAACCAGAGTGGTAACCAGAGTGGTAACCACAGTGGCAACCAGAGTGGTAACCACAGTGGGAGGAAACGTGGGAGACAACGTGATGGTCTTCCTTGTAAGGATGGGCAACAGCGTGCGATACAGCATGCGGTGCAATGCACCGTCCATACCGCCGCGACCAACGCCGGCATCTACCAAGACATCGCACACATAGGCGATCTCACCAAGAGCTTCAAAGGAAATTACGAGTCTTTGAAAAATTACCTGAACAATTTAAACAAGAAGAAAAAAAACGTTCATGATGACCTTCTGAACCTTTACTGTTATGCGTACATAAGGCAATGCGCCGTTAATAGCGACAAGGCCGCAGATGGGGGCGATGGCGCTCTTACCGGGGAAGAAAAAAATAAGGGGAAGCCGAGCGATGGAACTCTTCCCAACAATAGGAACAATCATTATGGCAGAGATAAAAGGGACTTAACGAGTGGTTATTTTGTGAAGGCAAACACCAGAGAGAGGGGAAAAAGTACCACCTCCAATTTGTCCAAGGAAGAGAGTCTCTCTCCCCCCCTTCGCGTTAACGACAAAGATACTGTCGATGCACAAAATGGAGAAATTAGAAAAATTCTATGCAGATACTACAACTATTTGAAGCTAAAAAATTACATCATCCCTTATAATATATACGACAATTGCAGGGGGGTGGCCAAGAAGGAGAGCAACCCCAGTGGGGGTAGACCAAATGATGAGCTTGGCAGAAAGGATAAGATTGACCAAAACGATGAGAGCAATGATAAATGTAGAAACAGCCAAAGCCATGCAACCCTAGAAGAGGATCTCATAAACATATCGTACAATTTCATCACAGAACATAGAGGTCCAAATAAGAACCTAACCTATGACCACTTCTGCAATTTTCACAGAAGACAATTTTTAAAAAAAAGGACAAACCATATTTTAAATAAAACAGATGCAACTGACACCAAAAAATGGGATAAGCCGAAGCAGAAGTGCAGTGACTACACCACCCGGCTAATGCGCAGTTACACCATTTATGATGGTCATCACACCAAGAACCCTTGTAGGAAGAAAAATAACGGAAGCCATTTCTACCTCTTTAAATATTTAATAGAGAATCTGAACCGAGAAGAACTCCAAAAGTTGATGCTCTGTCAATGCTGTTATGTTCTAAAAAAAATTGAAAATAAAATGACTCCCCTGGATGTGATTTTAGATACCCAAATTCTGTTTCATGACTGTAATAGGTACTTTAAGAACCAGGGGTGGGTGGATAACGATGGGATTCCTCAGGAGGGGACAAATCTGGGAACGCACAATATAGAGAAGGACAACCGCACCGATACCACAACCAATCTCCGTGGTAATGACCAATTTTATGCCCTGCGTAGCAACGAGCTTGAGAAATTCCACAACGGGGTCACCACCAATGGGGGAAAAACTCACAACAGAAGAGCGACCCCCACGAGGGGTAACCCGTCCGAGGGTAGCCACGATGGCGGCAGTGGAGGTGGCAATGGAAGCGGCATTGGAAGGGGCAGTACGAACAATTGCCTCACAACCAAATGCCGCACCAAAAGTGGCTGCTCCAACAAGGGACACACCATCACCAGCAGAAACAACACAAGCAGAAGAAGCAGAATGAACGGAAGCGGCGTCCACGTCTACAATTTGGAGAACCACCAAGTATCCATGACCTCCACGATGGCGTCCATGAGCTGGCAAGGAAAAGCATTCGCAAATGAAAAAAATAGGAACCAAGCAAAGTGCAACGAAGAGGGCAACGAAGAGGGCAAAAGGAAAAATGACAAAGGGAGAAATAATCAGCTAGCTGGAAAAGCAGAAAAGGAAAATAAAGAAAAAGTGAAGAGGGGCCAAAAGGCACGAGGTAGCATAGACCACACCAAATTCGAACACGCATTGTTTAAAATAGCCAGCCGAAAATTGAGGGACCTACAAAGGCAGGGGAAAAACATCTACACCAGGGGCAAACAGATCGGCGACGCCCCGCAGGAAGCAACAGCGGAGTGAGGTGCGCGCAGGGTAGGCCCATACACATGTACATATGTTTGTGACTGTCTCTGCCTATCTGTGCCTGTCTGTGCCTGTCTGTGCCTGTCTGTGCCTGTTTGTGCCTGTCTGTGCCTGTTTGTGCCTGTTTGTGCCTATTTGTGCCTATTTGTGCCTGTTTGTGCCTATTTGTGCCTCTTTGTCCCTCTTTGTGCTCGTATGATGGACTCATTATAGTGATATCAAGAGGCCCCCAAAAGACCCGAACTCAACGCATTGTGCGTATACCCATTGACGATCATGTAACATGCCAACGTTTCAACATTAGTGACAATTTCTGTGCGCGAGTAGAGCTCGGAAGAGACTGATTTGAGTACCACTTGTCACCACAGTTGCACCGAAAATTATGCAGGAAAATACGTACACACAGGGGGCGAAAGCAAGAAAAGGAAAAAGCACCAATGGTGCATCTAGAGAACGAGGGAATATTTACACTCAAAAAAATGCTGCGAAAAAAAAAGAGCGGGAGCGCGGGGGGGTGGTCAAGGGGAATAAATAAGTGCCCATCTTATGAGCATTTGCACGTGTATGTATTCATTTCCGTTGATATTTCTCCCTCCCCGACCTCTCAGCAGTGACGAACTGGTTGCACCCGCAGATACTTCTCACTGGTTACACGCAGGAGGGACACGCGTGCTTGATGCCTCGAATAGCAGAAAAGAACAAACCAACAACAGTGCCAATATCAATGGTAGTATTAAACGGACCAACGAATTAGCACAAATGCGCCATGTGTCATATGCATCACGCTTCTTTCCAATTCGATATGCAGTTTTATTAATTTTTTTAAAATTAAAAGGAAAAATGTTTGTACATTTTGAGAGCATAAACCAGTGGGCGTTGTTTTCTTCTCCTGATTTCTCCCCCCCGCCGTTGACACGGCGAGATAGTTCCGCGTTGTTCGACATACTCGTTCCCACGACAGTTTGCTGTATATGCGTATTCGTGCATGTTACCAACGCGTGTGCTTGTGGGGGGAGCGCACCACACGTACCTTCTAATCCCTTGAGGAAAATAAAACCTGTTTCCCCCCCTTCTCCGCATTCATTTCCCCCAATGTGTGACCAAAAAACGCTTAAAAATACAGGGTGTTTTTTTAAGCGAAACGAACTGTATAGCCATTTTAGCCAACTTTGGTTTTTCATTTAATTATGACCTGTTCATAAGAAAAGTGTGCCAATTTTTCTTTTTTTTTTTCTGAACAAATCAGGTAAATTTAAAAAAAAAAAAAAAAAAAAAACGCACAAAAAGTTGCGGCGTGGTGGAACTTCCTTTTATCGAAATGTAACTCCCTTCTGTTTAGGCCACTTGTTCGCCCACCGGGTTGGAAGGCGCAAAAAAGCACAGAATAGAACAGAACAGAGCAGAACAGAGCAGAACAGTACGGCAATGTACGGTACGGTACAGCACGATACAGCAACGTAACGTAACGTACACATAAGCAGGAGGGTTTTTTCCCAGTAGGGGCGCAGTGAAATAAATTCACTTTCATAGGGGCGGCACATTAGTACACATAAATATATATATGTATATGTATTTACCCATCCGCTGTACACATCTTACACATATATGTACATTTTGTTTTTTTCTTTTTTGTCACTACGACTACCACTCCTGGGTCGGGGAGGCAAATTCTAAAGAGCCCCTTTTTGCTTCACCAGAGTTGTATTTTTCAGCCTTTACTTTCTTCTCTTGACATCACAATCTGTGTAACGAATAGAAAAATTGGTGCAATTTTTCTCGGGTGTAACTAACGTTAAATGGGATGATTTGTTCACTTTAGATGAAGGAATTTACGCTCTTCCTTTCTTTCCTTTTTTCTTCCTTTTTTTTTTTTTTTCCATTAAGTTGTTCCCCTCCCCTTTTGCGCACGTAATTGCAAAAATTGTTCATGTTCTATCTGAACCATTTTTTTGCCACTTGGAAAACCCACGGGCAGGGCGAAATCAAAAAAACAAAAAAAAAAGCAAAAAAAGAAGCAAAAGAAAAGGGAAAAGAGTTTTTCCATTAAATGCTTTTCTTTCTTTTTCTTTTTTTTTTCTTAGTCGATTATATAATTGTTCCTCTTTAATTTAATCCACTCTTTTTTCTTTTTTTACCTTTAACCAATTTTTCGTCCTTCTCGTTTGTTCTATTTTTCAACGCACAGCTGGTTTTCCCACAGCTTGTGTGCACGTGCGCGTATAGAAATATATTTATACCGTTTATATATATACATACTCGCGCACGAACCGAAGCTGCGGTTGGTTAGTTACAGCCCCAATTTTGCCGACAACACTTCGATTCGTTTTTTCTTTTTTTCTGGTGGGTTGCACACTAGGTGAAGTTTTCCACCTTGCGACGCCACCATTTTTTCCGTTCACTAATTCGCCTGGCTACTTCTCCACGTCCCCGGCGCTCAAGATGGGAAACAAGCTGTGCTGCATTAGCAATGACTTGCAAAGCAGCAAGTCGATGATAGATATATATAAATATGACCCCAGAGAAATATACGGAGATTATGACGACTGGACACTGGAGAATTGGATCGACAAGTACAAAGATGGAAACTCCATTAAGGTTGCCTTTCCAGATGGTAATGAAATTCAGTGCCACTTTAAAATTTTTCTCACGAAAAAATGTTTTGAGTTATCTCTGGACAATAAAGTTCGAGTCATAAAATTCAATGACATAAACTGTATACTTCACAGAAACAGCTGCGAATCGTTATTAGAGTCAGAGAAGAATCTATTAAAGTCTCCGAAGGTTATAGGCATCCGATTAATAAGTACACTTAAGGCCATTGCGTTTGCCATGGAGAGCCCAGCGGAAGCAAGGATGTTTTACGAGTTTATAGAAAAGTACTGCCTAAATGGTTAAACGAGGGGAGAATAAGGGAAAAGAAAGGGAAAAAAAAAGGAAAAAAAGGAAAAAAGGGAAAAAAACCAAAACAAAGATCCCGAACGGGAGAATTCCCCGGTACGCATGACACGCACCATCTAGAATAACAGAGTGTACTAATTAAATGAGCGAAGGAAGTCCTTTTCGCATATGACTCACAGGGACTGCCCCTAAACCTCATCACGCCTTCTGTCCTGTACCCGCGTGTGTGTATTACTGTATACAACGCGTGTGAGGGGTACACCCCAACCTCCCTTCGCTTTGCACTTGCTCACATGCAAACTTCTACATAATTCGAAGTCCTTTTCAAATGACGCATTTTAAACCATGTTTACTTTCCCTAACGTTTCAGTCAACGCTTACATAGAAGTCTCACCTCACTTTCTTAACTTATCTGCAGTTGGCAATTTGATCTTCACATATACATAGACGCTGTGTTCTCTCGTTAACTTTATTTTATTTTTTTTATTATCCATAGTATTCCCTTTTTTTTTATCCATAGTATTCCCTTTTTTTTTACCCATATTATTCCTCCTTTTTTAACCATGGAAGCGTCTTTTTTTACTCCTCCAAAGTCCACACATATGTATATTTTTTTTTTTTTTTTTAATTTTTTCTTGATTCCTAAAATAATATCCCCAATGTACGCACACGCCTATATATTAACCATTTTAATTACCTCTTTCAATGGTAAATTTGGAGAAGTAGCATAAAAGGAACAAATAGAAGGGTGTAAAGGAGTGGCTGCGTGCGGAAGGGATGTATACACTTGTGAGGAGGTACTCCAAAATGAAGACAAACAAAACGAGTAAAAAAGGAGGGGGGGGGGGGGGGGTAAAAGTCCCTCTCCCTTATTTGTACGTAATGTCAATTATGCCTCCTTTTTTTCTTCTTTTTCTTTTTTTTTCATATTTTAAATAAGTTTCCTTCTTTTCAACACTCCGAGCAGCTTTATAACTTACTCCTTATTTTTCATATCTGTGTATCTTACAATGCTTAACTACGAATGCAGCGCCTTGTCTGTTCTTTATCACATGAAATAAAAATAATGGCACAAAATGCAGGACGTGCATAATGCGAAAAAAAAAAAAAAATCATTAAGCGAATTTCACATGAGAGATGTAAACTCAGAAGTATAATTTCTTGTGCAAAAATGAAATGTCCTTGGAAACTTCACCGGTTTTTTTGTTAATTGGGTCTAAGAATCTGCACAGATGGGAAAAAAAGAAGAGTCAGTGAAGGGTGCATTCTTAAATTGTATGTACTTTCATCCAATGGGATGGAGTGGAAAAAAAAAAAAAAAAAACACACACACACAATGCGTGATTAAACAAAATTGGGGAAGACTCCGCTGGTGGACACACAACAATGGGCGAGAAAAACGTGCAAACTTACTTATCTCTGAACATTTTTCCCAATTTTTTAACCTCCTTCTTTTTATTCTTGGATCTTAAAACATCGTCCGATGCTAAACTTTTGATGTCGAAGTCGTTGGCCGCTTGGTATCTGCAGGGGCGCAGTTGAAGAAGTCCGGTTGCGTCAAATGAGGAGGGTTTTTTCTCATGAACCATGCACTGCTAGCCATCGCGACAGGTTTATATATAGCAGCAGTTGCGACGGACTCCACTGGCACATGGCCGTTCCAGTATTTAGACACGCTTCCTTTCTGCGCCGCTCCAACACGCACACACGCATCCTTTCTGTGCTGCTCCTACTCGTGCTTACCTCGTTGGGAGGATGTGATTCACGTTAATGTACTTCACAAATGCCTTAACCTTTGATCTCTTCATAATTTTCCTCTTGGACATTTTCTTGGTTACCTTCAAAGGGTGCTTCTCTATTCCTGCGACGAGGCAATAGCTGTAGGGTCTCTCCCTCGTCTGGCTTTCATACGTGTTTATAATTATGGCCTTCTTTCCCGCTCTACGTCCATTCAGCAGGATAACAACTTTTCCTGGCTTGAGTCTGCAAAGGGGTGAAGCAAATCGGGGGTGACGAAGAGAAGACATAAGTGCGCAGGTGTGTCAGCTGTGGCAGGTAGCACCTATACCAGCTCCTTCACATTGGGGCTGGAACGTTCCCTCGCTTATATGCATGTAAAGAATAGAAGCTCTCCTCCCTCTGCAGGGAAACTGCAATCATCCTGCAAGCAGAGATGCGGAAAGCAAAGTGCGCTCTTTCGGTATGCACCCGTTAAGCCACGTAAAAATTGCAAACTGAGCAGTGGTATGGGAGTGGGAGGAGTTGAAAACAAAGCAAAACACAAATGAGGCATCAATATGGCACCAAAATGAGCCCCCCAAAAGTGTTAGCTTTATCTCCCCTGTAGGTTACTCTTATCCGCCCCCTCTCCCTCTTCTTCCCACAAAGGTAGTCCCTTTTTAGGGGAATTAACATCTCCTCCCTCTTCACAAATGTCATGGAGAGAACTTACAATTTTCCCATTTTGAACAGAAGGGTCAGGGTAGTATTATACTACTTTTGGTGGTATCTATTTTTGTACAATTCGGGGGGGGGTATAATATTATATACCCAAAAGGGTGTGAAAAATTTCGCAAAAAAGGAAAGCGCAAATGAACCAGTGGCTTATAAACACTCTTCTTTTATTTTTGCAATGTTTTTTTTGCGATATGTTAAAAGAGCGAGTTTGAATATAAGATGCCAAACGGTTGTTTAAGCCTTATCTAATTTTCAAAGCTCACGTCGTTTCAAAAAAATTTGCGAAATGTTTTTCCTCATGAGGTTAAAAAAGAAAAGAAAACGTGGAACAAGCCGCTTCGAAACAAAGTGAATAGAAAAATAACGGAGCGGCTGTTTAAATGCAAAAGGGGCAACTCTCCGTGATCAAGATGCGAAAAAAAAATGTAACGCCACAAAATGGGAAGTGACATAATAATCCTCGTATGCGGACGTACCACGTGGTTTCGCTTTTATTAATAGGACTGAAGATTTTTTATGAAGATATTAGCCGCAGGAAGTTCCTCTGTCGCTTGGGTGCCGTATGCCCAAGGCGCTCTGCACGTTTGAGGTAGAGTTGGGGGGATAAACCCATTTGGAGGCGCTAAACAGGGAAAAAAAAAAAAGTAACTAGCGGTGGCATACAACATGAAGATGATGCATACGTATTGTACATACAATAAAGTGTACAATATTCTTTCCGCGCAGGGAAGGGGGAGCCCCAAATTTTAATTATCGGGAAAAAAAAAAATTAATTTGCATATTTTCCGCCGAATGACATAATGGCGCTTCGTTAAATCATCCGTCACAACGAAAAAGTCATTTTTTTAAAAAATCTCAAATTGTGGGGATGGTCACGTTAGAAACCTTTTGAACGTATCATCTCGTCAAAGTTTAAGTTGAAAAAAGTGCCCCCCATGAGGAGCAAATGCCTTTTGTAAGGCAGTTATACACTACTTTTGTCACCCGGTGGAGAGACATCCAATGGGAACACATATCTCACTGGAGCTATTTTACATGATGTAAGGAAGGGCAAAGGATTTGTTCACGCGTAGGTGTTTATAAATCCCCTATTAGGGAAGAACCGAACCACTGTTTAATTTTTCTCGACACCGAGTTTGCAGTATTGTAAAACTGACCATGTGGCCGAACTGCCTGGAGACACTTCCCTGTAAGAGTGTTCCATTATTGGGACGCTTCCGTTCTGCCCATTTGAATTGAGAAAAAAATGGGGGCAGAAGGAACACACTTGGGGGGATAATCTTTCTCATTTCTGCAATTTCCCCATTTGGTAAAAAATGCGAAACCAGGCAAACTTGTAAAGGACACCCGCGTGTTAGGAAAAAAAAATTCAACACTGGGTCACAATTGGGTTAATTTAGAAAGGAATAATTGAAAAAAAAAAGGAAAAAAAGAAAAGAAAAATTCCCATGTCATCAAGATGGGAATACTCCTTGACAGTGGTGTGCTATTATACATAGTGGCCATTTTGTGTGCAAAAGACGGGGGAGACGATAAAGAAGGGGCCTTTTTCTCCGTCCAATGGTAGTGCCTCCACATGTTGGACATTCATAGGCAATATGTACGTACGCACAGAGGGGGGAGTTACGCTGCTGGGTTGCCTCCACCCCTTCCTCCCCTCGCCGCTTCTCCAGATCACACCTCGTCGATGTAGTCGAAATGCTTCATAATGGCGTCCACGGGATTACCGTGCCGATCGAGGAGAAACAAATCAAAGCAACAGTTGCAGACATAGGAAGGGTTTTCCTTGAAGAGATAACAATCTAGGACGATCTTCTGTGCGATGTTCTTATGACAGCAGAGGCAAAACTTCTTTGCGATATTCGGTTTGAAGGTCCTAAGGGGGTATTTGGAAAACTCCCTATCGCGCAAGCTATTATACTCTCGAATGTTGTTAAAAATAATTCGATGCTCACAATTCCCTTGATGTAAGAAGCAACACTTTTGGTAGAGGGGGATTTCCATTTGGCCCATGACAGCCTTATCTTGCTGTATCTTATACGGGGGCCGAATAAAATTGTTTTCTTTTTTTTTCCGGTAAAAGTCTAATATGCATGCTGAGTAATCCAGCGCGTTTGGCGATCTCAAATCGGGGTAGAGCACCCCATCAATGTAGTACACGGATCCATCAAATTGGGGCAGACCATAATTTGAAGAATCGAAACAGAAGAAGACGTCTGTTAAGTCGGCCAAGGTTTGCCATGACAGCATTTCATACTCAGCTATTTTGATACCCCTTATCGGGTGGTAAAAGGAGACAGAAATTACGAACGTTTCGTTTGAACTTAAACTCTGGAGGGAAGAAGGAGATCCAAGGAGGTCACGCTTTGCCTGATCCGCATAAAGCGTATTAATTAAATTCTGATTTATATACACCCCTTTCAGTAATGAATTGTTAAAATCGCAAACAAGTCTGAACGTTTTAGACAGAGTCTTCCTTTTCAGTTTGGCTATTATCTGATATTTGCTAAATGAATTTTTTTCCATTCGTGGTAACCACTCCAGGAAGCATTTGGTTCTATTTAGTACTCTGTCCTTTTTCGAATTATCTGCTTCTTTTCTTAGTGCCTCCAGATCGACCTTCTGTTGCCAGTTCTGGCAGTTGTAGTTTACTATGTGGTTGATTATTTCTCCCACGTTGGGACATCGGACTCCTGATTGTAGTGCCTCTATCAGGGGGTCATACGATGCGACGTTGCTTTCATTGGAGATGGCGTCGCCGGGGTAAGCGACTTGGGGGGGATCTCCAGTGGGGTGTACCTGGCCTCTTCCCCCACGTAGTCGCCTCTTCACCCTGTCGCATTCTTCCTGAAAATCCTTCAGTCGAACTTTCCTTGGGACGAAGGCCCCCGGGGGTGTGTGATAAATCCACTCCCGTCGGAGCTCCTTACTTATGGGTAAATCAGGATTCTTTTCAAAAATGTGACACGGTTGCCTTCCTATCATTTCCTCATCGTCATGGGCTCTACTATTTAGTGATGCCAGCTGGGAGGAGGATTGTCCCCCTGGTTCCTCTGCGCAGGATTGCTTCTTACATTGTATTCCCCCCCCCTTCTCAACGCCGGTTTGGCGGCCATTGCTATAGTTGTTACGGTTACAACTTTTTCCGGCACCCTTGTTGGGGGGGGTGGATGTGTCCCTTTTTGCAATATTTTTGAGGTAGCTCATAAAGAGCCTCTCATTTTCACTTTCCGCTTCGCTTCCATGATCGCTCGCGAGAGAGCTTGTCACACCTTCCCTCAGCACATCTTCCACCGCCTTACTGTCCGGACGGCTTCCTTCCCTCTCCCTCTGCTTAATTTTGTAAAAATCGTACTCGTCTTTCTCGAAGAGAAGCTCGATTGGAAAGTGCGGAATGGGTAAACTCAGTGACCGGACGTTTCTTTCATCCATAAAAAAGGGGGTAAAGCAGAGTAAAGGGAACTCAGTTGGTGCAGGTGAAACTGTGTTGGGAAGGAGAGCTCCTTATGTGTGGTTGGTCGAGCTGCTATGCCGGGACACAAAAAAAAAAAAAAACAAACAAACAAAAAAATAAAAAATAAAAATAAAATGAAGTAAAAACCAACCCGTTGATAGCTACACGCTAAAGGTCCCAAGGGGGAGACGAACTCAAAGGAGTTTCTCTTCCTGAGTCTTCCTTTTCTCTGAGAAGTTCCATTTTGCCCACTCGCGCCAAGCAGCACGGGGATGTCCACGCACAGGAAAAAGGGCAAATTTGGCAAGAAAAAAAAGTGCCAAAAAAGGGAGAAAGCGCCGCCAAAAAGGAGCCAATAATGTGCCAAAAGAGGGAGAAGAAGGCATTGCCAAAAAGGAGCAAATCATGTGCCAGAAGAGGTGTGAATGGAGTGCCCCTTCCCCCTGCGCAATCACACCAGTCAGCAGCGCGCCACAAAAAATTACCAGTGAGAACAACCCATAGGGGGAGCAGAAACCACTAATAATGTGTGCCTTCCTTCTTTTGTTACACTATCTTTAACTACCCGTTCGCTCCTTTTACCGGGAGTCCAACTGGGAAGGAAGCCAAATGGGGGAGACGAAGCCCCAATGTAGTACACTCCTCCTGCCTGGCTAGTAGCTGCGTACGATTTTAGAGACGTAGGGTTTATCACTCCGCTGAAGGATCCACCTGATCACACATGGAGAGCAAAGAAGAGGAACCCAAAATGAACACAGAAAAATGAACGTACTCTTTTGGATCCTCCTTCTAATATTACACTGTTCCTACGGGAGAAGCACCTCCTTGAGGGTAGCCCCCAAAGGAATGGCAGCCTTCTTGAGGACAGTCCCGAAGAAAAATAACTTAACGAAGAACTCTCGAGTTTACAATAATGTAATGCAATTGGAAGTAGCGAAGTAGCGGCCGGTGTGTTCTGAGCCCTCCGAGGGGTATCACCACCGTTGTGAGATCTTCAACACGTTTCTTTTTCCTACCAGCGCTCTGACCTCTGCAACACATTTATTCCTTTTTTATCTCTTTACCCATCCCAAGCTAGAGAAAGTCAACACACATATAAAAGACCTGGACATTTTAAACAAGTGGAAGGAAAACTACCACCTGCGAATCATTCTGAATTCGTATTTTTCGGACCACCTGCAGAAGGCTGTCTTAAATGTGAAGGAGAAAATCAGCCAATTCCCGCAGTTTATCATTGCTGGCCCGATTCCGCAGAAGACCATAAAGAAGAGGTGATTCGAATAGGGGCGCAACATTGTCTCCGCCATCTCGCCATCTTTCCCTGCTCCCCTTTGTGTCGAATTGCCGACAAACAGACACAAATTTGCCACCACATGTATCGCTCAGCTCAGTAGTCCCCCTCCCCTCTCCACAGATTCACCTTCCTGAGATCGCCCCACGTGGACAAGGACAGCAGGGAGCAATTCGAAATAAAGCAGTACGGATGCAAATTGGATATTTTCCTAAACAGCTCCATCAGCTTGAAGAACAACGAGTGTAAGTGACGCCGGGTGACGAAGCGAGGTCGCGTGCAGTAGGAGAAAGAATATCCACTCTCTCTTGCGTGTCACCCAAGGGGAATATCAAATCCTTGGAGCAGACAACACAGGCAGTTGGATGAGTATCCCTCCATTTGTGTGTATAATTACCCCTATTAAACACCGCACCATCCTTATTTTACCCGTTTCCCCTGTCCAGTCACCAACTTCCTATCCGTGAAGCTACCCCGGTTCGTGGGCTTCGAATACTATTTCGAAGAAAATTACAAAGGCCTCAAAAAGGAGGAAGTGAAAAATTTAAAAAAAAAAAAATACGTCAGCAAATACTACACAAATTTGCTGAACGGCAAGGAGAAGAAAAAGATTGTTGAGTTGTTGTTGGAAAATTCAAAATACATGAATGTGATGCTGCCTAGAAGCTTTTACGATTTGTACAAATTCCCCCTACATATATTGCAACATTATTACAGAAAGTGAGGAGAAGGAAAATTAGTCTATAATGATGTCGTTCGATATGCGTTCCCATCGGAGGACCGCTTCACCACACGGTGCTTCGCTACGACGATATAATAATTTGCTCAACGTTGTGTACAAATTAACTTCCTCCCCTTTTTTTTTTTTTTTTTTGCAGAACGATGGAGAAGAAGAAGTGGTATCATGAGAATGAAGACTTGATGAAGAAGATCGAGTCTCTTTCTTTTGACTAAGTTCGGTTGGCAGAGAAAATGGAGTGCGAAACGGTTAACTGGTTGACTCGGTCACGTGGGCAGTCTGTCCTTCCTTTGCCATTTGGCTTCCCACTTTCTTCAATTTCGAACCTTCTACTTTGTTCCCCATGGGTGTGTCCCTTGTGAAGAAAAAGAAGCAGCCTCAGCCTTGGCCTTATCCTTAGCCGCACTACGAACTCCTTATTTACTATGCCTGCACTGTGATTTGTTGAAGCCCCATGCTGCTACGCCATGCAACGAGCAAACATGGAGAACAAAGCACAGGGGGAAATAAAAGAAAAAACATCGCATATATGCACGGAAATTTATTTATTTTTTTTAGTTTACACTCTATCACGTAGGCAGCGTGGCATCTTCATTTGCGCCTTCTCACACGTCAGCGTCAATTTCAACGACAACGTTTTTGTTTTTTTTTTTTTTGCCAACTTCACCGCTCCACCCACGTGTGTGAAAAAAACTCTCTCCCTTTCCTTATCTGTTGCGTAGGGCCTGGGGCGGACACCTACGCACCCTTCTGAGCCCCCCCCCCAAGTGGGAAATAATTTTATTTTTACTCTTATTTGACACGTCCAAAGGGGGCGCCCTCCAAGCTACTCCCTCGAAAGGGATGCCCGCACAATGAAGGGGGATACCCAGACGAATTACCACTTCTCCGTAAAGAACGTAAATTTCTTCAAAAGTGCCTTGGCTCTTCTGAGCGTAGATGACAGCAAAAGTAACTCGCTTGTGAGGAGAAGTACAGGCAGCCAAGGGGAAGTGGAAAATTGTATTCTCTTTAATCTCCTTGGTGACGGGTTAATGTTACGGAGCTGGTCTAAGTGCAAACAGATATATTGTTTTATGTTCCTCGATTCGGACTGCTTTACGAGCTACAACATTTTCGATCAGGGGGGTGGCCATGGGGAGAAGGATGCGGATAGGTACCCGGAGAAGGGTCGGAGAAGAGGAAGTGACAGCTCCATAGGACAGAAGAATGGCCCATGTGGGTGTCCTCATTCAAGTGGCTTCTCCGAAGGTTCATGCAGCAGATGCCAGACCCCGAGGATGAAAAAACGTTGCAAAAGGGAAGATGAACACACGTATAGCGAGGAAGACAACCAGAGCCACGAAGATGATACGAACAGCGTAAATTCAGATAATTTGTACACTACCCATGCGATAAACATGGAGTGTAACGCTTTGATCAAACTGAAGGCCGTGTCTCCACTAAAGGTTAAACCTACGGAGAGTAATAAAACAGAACATCCAAATGAGGACGAGTATTTTATTCGAAAAAAGGTATATGAAAAAATCGATGACGAGGATAGAAACAACAAAATGGAATTTCTCGTATGTCAGTACGAATTACTCAGAGCTGTGGAATTTTTGGACCCTATTCTTTTAAACATCAAATTTGATTACGCTAATCGCCAGTTGATTTTGCACCTCACTGATGAAGATGGGGACACGTCTGAGACCTTCGTCAGAATCATTGTAGACTACTACCATGAGATGAGCAAGTTAGAAAAATACACCTTTCTACAAAATGATTATAATTTCTTTTCCATCCTCTCCACCACTTTTTCCTTTTACCTCGACTATTTAATTAAGAGCACCGATGAGTACATTACTTTTTATATAACGGAATATGCCAACGATAGCACCACGGTGCTTAAAATGGTATAATGCTGAGGGGGGGGGGGAAAGTCCATGCGCTGAAGGGACGTTCGTTGGGAAGACGAAAATAGCGAAGTCACGCTTGTTACTAGCCTTTTTCAAGTTAAAGCTAGCCTGTGAAGCTGGTCCTCCCTCCATCGGCCCACTGCACACCGGAAGGTGGCCTTTATCCCCTAAATCACACACCTATGCACATGCTACCCTGTGTTAACTTACCCCACTTTCTTACTCCGCAGGAAACGAAAAATAAGAATTACCAACGGTCCGTGCAGCTCATGCCCAAGGAGAACTTCCAACATTTTAAGAGCTCAAAAAGTCAAATGTATGCCGATGGAAGGAGAGTGCGCAGAAATATGTCCCGTGTAATTACTCACGTGTAGACACCTAGATAGGCAACTTCCCACCCATATGTTGACCTGACCCCCTTTCGCAGATTCAAGTACCGGATAAGAGACTTAGCCAAAATTAACCAGGCTCTCAGTAACGCGAAAAAGAAAAGAAATGAAACAGAACTGAAAAAAAAAATGAAACAAAACTGAAAAAGAAAATGTGAATAAGAAAATTCCCTGCTAACATTATCACCTCTCACCATCCCAAACCCGCACACACGTGACACTCCGCCCCCCTTTCCACCTCGGAAGAAATAAGTTCCCACCTCAGAATGGATTTCCAGGAAAACGGCCTGCTGCGCTTTCAGTTTACCCTCAAGTAAGTGAAGTGCGAGGACTGCCCGATGTAGTATTCTGTGAGCAGATATGCTCTCCCATGTGTTGTCTCCCACTTGTTGGTCTCTCCCATTTCTGGCGCACGCCCCCAGAAGGTCTCCTAAAAATTGTCTTTTTTTTGTGAAACGGATGAGAGGTGTCATCTATGCCCATTGCTTATTCCTTCAGAAGAGAAGCGCGCCCGTTTGGTAATTCACTTATCTGCATATTCCGTGTACTCAATTTTTCTATCTTTTTTTTTTTTTTTTTTTTTTGCAAGGGAATACAACATGAACGGAACGCATTTGTGTTACTTCTTACAACCCCTGACTGATATGACTCTTCTCAATTTTGCGTAACGCCGTAAATGTGGCGATGCACAGGGAAAATCAAAATAACGAAAAAAGAACTATTTTGTTACTTGCAGTAGGACTCTGTATGCGTTGCCATACCCCACCTTCTGTGCCCACCCGCACGGTCAGTCAGGGACACTCCCTTGTCGCGGCTTTGAGCGTTTCACAATAAATTGACCAAATTGACCAAATTGGCGAAAATGACAGAAATGACAGAAATGCAGAACGGAAAAGTAGAGAAAGAAAAAGGAAAACACCTACTTCGCAAATGCTAAACGTGCACACGGAAATGTGTACATGACATGTGAAGAAAAAAAAAAAGGGGTTTATAAAAAGTGCCAAAATGGGATTTTCGCCAATCCGTTCGTTTATTCACTTTTTTTTTTTTTTTTTTTTCTTTTTTTTCCAAATGGTATGCACATTGGAGGCGTCCACACAGTAACGCCATTTCCCCGTCCCAAATTTATTTTCCCTTTTTTGTGAACATTTAAAATAGTTCCTTTTTTGGAACCTTATCCTGTGTACTCAATTTTGGGGACAAGAGGGGAAAAAAAAAAAATAAAACAAAACGAAACAAATCAGCCGACTTGAGTGAAACTCCAAAAAAGTGTCGCCATTTGTTCTACACACTGTTAAAATGCTTTTTTTAACGAAGGAGTTGTGCTGCTGAGAGTTTTTTTCTTCGCTCGTATAGGCCCACCGATTTACTCCGCCGCTTTAAGCCTACGCTTTACCTCGCCGCTGTTCCATCCCGTCCATTCACTTAAATATGACTACGCGAGTGAAAAAATGAAAGATCAATTGAAAAACAAATCCGAAGAGTACCAGAAGCTGCTCCTATCAGGTACGTCGGCTAGCGAATCAGTATATACCTTTTTGCCCCCCTGCCTGGACAAGACATAATTGTCCCTATCAACAAGTGGACAATTTGAAAATTCCCCTTTTTATTTCTCCCCCCCTCCCCCGATACTGCAGCGTCCATAAGGAGAGAGGCAAAACAAAATGAAGAAAATAAAAAGGCGAAAAAGCAACAATGTGGCAACAATGACAATAATGATTTTATCATATACATGGAATTTAAATTTGAGAATTTAATCCTTTCTAGGTATCTATTTGAGATCAGGTAATTTGGAGAGAGGGTGTGTAAGGGGGGTTGTGCCATGGGGCAATCCCGTTTCTGGGACAACTTGGGTTTTGCGATTTTGCCACACCGCTGCGATACCGCTGCGATACCGCTGCGATACCGCTGCCATACCGCTTCCATAGCGCTGCGACACCGCTCCCACACCGATGCCACGGCATCGCCTCCCCCCCGCAGGGACGAGTTGGGGACGCCGATCCGGAACAGCGTGCAGATAACGAGGTTCATCATCATGCGGAGCGAAAACCACATCATGGGCACGTGCGTATCGGACAGAATCATCCTCTGCTACAGGAACGACAAGGAGACCACGACAATACTGCGCACGCTCAAGGAGGAGTTAAGAAAAAACTATTCCATATGTTTAACCGATGAAGGGAACAAAGATACAAACGGGAATGAGATAGATAAAGCACTCCTCTCATACATCATCCAATTTACTCTCGTATGTAAGTATGTAGAATGTGGCAAGTGGGTTCACATATGGGACAATATGGATACCATCATTGAGTCCAAGTTTTGTGGAAATAATTCCAGTAAATATTTTAACTGCATAGGCTTTAAGTTTCACATTTTAAATACCAATTACAGGGTAGCTAGCCCAAAAAGAGATTGCATACATTTCGTGCAAATGCACTTAAAGGTTATGTTAAGTATGTATAAAGTTCTTCCCCTGGTGGAAGAGCAGATGTGCGAAAATATGTTCGTGTATTGCCTACCTCGATGCTCCATGAGAGCTACCATTTTAGATGTTCTGGACACTTCCGATGCAAAAGTGGAGGAACAAAATTTCAACTACCAGGATTACTGGCTCAACGTACACGGTTATGTGTTAAATCAAAATGCTCTCAAAAAAATAGTCAAAGTGAGGCTCTACAAAGGGGTATTTAATTACCCCCAAGGGGTTCTCCTAAGGGACAATATATACAAATTAAACATAGCCGTAAAGAATGACCCTTTTTTTTACGTCTGCAATTTTTTGAGTACTTTTGAGTTATTAAAAAGGGCAGAGATAAAATTGCTGAGGTTTTCCGAATGTGATGAAGGGGGGAAAAATCTCTACGACGATCTTCTCCCACCTCAGAATAGCAAAAGAATAAGAAAGGAACAAAGCGATAATCAGGATGACTCCGAATTTTATGCCAAACTGAATCGAATCTGTAAACACCAATTTGAAGGGAACAATTTCTCTCCATACCTTTCGCAGTCAAATAAACTGCAAAGAACATATGACAATTCGTACCAGCTGTATGGGAATACTTTAACTACCACCTCCGGTGTGTCGATAAATTTGGATTTTTCCAAAAACAAGAAAAGTGGCAGCGGCGAGAGGGACTCTTCCAGGAGAGACTTGGACGCCTTTCTGAAGAAGTCTGCGCAGGACTACTACGCGAGAGAAGTGGATCTCCAACAGGGGATCATTCATCATCAGCGGCGACATGGCCCAATTCAACATGAGACGCAACACCACGCCGTTCCTTATGAGGCGCGACACCCCCCCGTCCCTTATGAGCCTCTCCCCAAACCCGACTACCGCGCAAGAAATGCTAATCCCCGCCGCACAGATGACCTGATTCACAAAACCACACAACAGGGCACCACCGTAGTGCCCACCACGGATCACTCAAACTGCCACGCAGAGACCAAAAGGGCACAACTTGGCCAAGCTTACACGGTGGGGAATCAGAACCAAGGTAACCAATTGGACAAATACCTCCACAACGTTGCAAAGAGTTACACCTCCGTGGAGGGAAAAAACAATCCCGATCATATGGCCGAGGCTAACATTTTCGAAAGCGTAAACCCACAGATCATATTTTCCAAAGAATTTGAGAACTTTCTGGACAATCTAGACGAAGCTGCGCTGTACCAGGAGCAGCCCCTTCTACCCCCAGTGAATTTTGACCAACGGGAAGGGAAGCGGCCCAATTTTCCCATAACGACTCCACCATTCGGCCAAATGGGAAACCGCACGCAGGTCAAGAAGACGCATAAAATGACGTAGGTGCCGCTAAGGATGGAAAAATTAAATTGCCTCCAACGCAGCAACGGGGAGCAAGCGTGCCAGCATTGTTAAGGCCAATGCTTTTCTTCCATTTGGGGATGCATGCAGGGATAATAAGTATATATCTCGTGCAAAAGTGGCACTTCCATTATGTGACAGTTAGCTTATGCTAATTGTAAGTTATTTATTTTTTTATTTTCTTTTCTTGTACGGAAAATGTAATTTTTCTTTCCTTCCCGGATAGATATGAGTTTCGCTTCGCTTTTTTTCTTTTTTTTTTTTTTTTTTGTTTCTTCTGCAAATGAAAAGGGACCGATTTTGCATCCCATCGGTCTGTTTGAGTAGCAATTTTTTTTCTTCTTTTTTTGGTTTACGCTAATGTAGCACTTTTTAATTAACAGTGTATACTATAATTAAACGGGTTTAACAGAACGGTTCAGCTGCGAACAAGCTAAGTCGTCTTACACGGAAGCGGCGTACAGCCATTGGGGAATGAAGAGTGCAGCGGAGAACGGTATAATATTATATATATACTTCTTTCTCAACATATGAAAGAGGCCACTTCAAAATTGAAGAATCGCCTATTATTATGCCCATTCATTGAGCAGCAGGGGGCCGTTCTGCAAACTCGAATTTCTTTTCCACCACGATGCTTATACCCTCATCAGAGTTTATTATTGAAGGTATAGAAGCGCGTACGACGTCACTATACTGCCTTTCGGCGCATATTGATGTGGTAATTTTAACCCTTTTGTGAGAGGGGCTGAGTTATATAGGCATATATTATATGACCTGTTAAGAAGCGAGTTGTAATTTTGTGGCAAGATGAGAGTTATTACATGCAGGGGAAAGAAGACTACTTTGAGGGAATAGCGGCCAATTTTTCCAAACTGTTTTGCATACATCACGAATGTTGCTATACCCCTTAGGGTAAAAACGAATCGCGGTGACCTCGAGAAGGATATCCATTTGAGAGAGTCACCTCCCTCACCCCCCTTGACTGAGTCTCTCCACCTTCTTGTCGCTTGCCAGTTGTGACAAACAACTTCCAGTGGAAGAAAAAGACGCAGCCATAAAAGGAGACAAAACAAGGGAAGAAAAAAACAAACAAACCGCTATCCCCCCCCAACACGCTGAGTACAAAATGCGTAAACTGAAATACCATGAGCAGAAGCTGCTCAAAAAGGTGAACCTCTACGACTGGAAGAGGACCCGAAATGTGCGCGAGGTCAAAGTTCTGAGGAAGTACGTAATTCAAAACAGAGAGGACTACACAAAGTACAATAAAATATGTGGCTATATAACCAAGTTAGTTTCCAAATTGAGATTATTACCAGACAATGATGAATTTCGGATCAAAATGACAAGTGAGCTTCTGGACAAGCTGTACGACATGGGGGTAATAAATTGCAAATCCAGTTTAGCTGAGTGTGAGAAAATCTCGGTCTCCGCTTTCTGTAGAAGGAGATTAGCTGTAATTTTGTTCAGGCAAAAATTCGTTCAGACCATACAGCTAGCCATTACGTACATTCAGCACGGAAATGTACGGGTGGGAAATAACGTAATTAACAATCCAGCTTTTCATATTAACAGAAATTTAGAAGACCATATTAAGTGGGCGGATGGGTCCAAAATTGTAAAGCACATACAGAGGCATCAGAACAATCGCGATGACTATGAGCTCCTTGGCAATTGACCCGACAGAATGGGATGGAGGAGGTTCGAAGCGGGATGAACTTGCGGAAAAAAAGCGAAGTTTATGAGAAATTTTTTTTTTTTTTTTTGTGATGTCCCTATGGCATGTTATAAAATATCTGTATATGTTTTATAATGGTGTTTATCATTCGGAACTTTCCGTGTCCTTTGGACATGGCCATATTTATGTTTCCCTTTTTTTCTTTTTAATCCCATCTGTTTGTAAACCCAACTTCCATTTTTCGTACACACCGTTTGGTTAAGATATTTTTTAGAAGGAGTAAAATGGGGCATCATGCCAGTGCAGCCTCGCTTGGGGAGAAATTCCCCCATGGAACTATTGTCTCCTTTGCTTGACAAATGGGAAAAAAAAAAAAAACTTAAAAATGGCGAACAACGTACAATTGCATGTATATATATGTATACCACTCTCCCTGGTATTTCTTCATTTTTTTCCTTTTCCGACATGGCAACGAATTGTTATTATATCCTGCGCTGTGTTACGCCTGGGTGGTGTCACGAGAGAAACAACATCCGTCTTTTTTTTAAAAACCACAAAAAAGGGGAAGGGAAAAAACGAATGGCAAAAATGTTCACCATTTAAGCGGCTGAAACTTTACATTTAATACAAAAGGACGCTCATTTTTTGACCTCATCGAGTTCACTTCTTTTCATATTTGGCGTGACAAAAATGACAGGTGTTGCCATACACAGCTGGAAGGCGGTACTTTGTTAGCAGCGCTAAGTAAAGCATCTTCGTGACCGTAAGATTTTTGCGGCACCTTCTTTTCCCCTCCCCCCTACTAAACGTCACAAAAATGGGAGCATAAAAAAGTTCAGCAAAGAGAAGAGCACATAAATTGAACCATATAGAATGACATAAAAAAGGGGAAAAAAAAACAACAAAAAGAAACGGACTCCTCAACTTGTGCGGTTAAATTTATGCAGTTCGCGTTGGGTCAACAAAGTTTTTCTCTGTTGTTTGTTTGTTTGCTGTTTTTTTGTTTTTTTTCCGTTTCAACTGCGCACCACCGCGGTGTTTCCCAAAGCATCGAATTGTTAGTAAATTGATCGAAAAAATATTCCTACATTTGAAATATTTATAAAATCACCATTTAATTTTAACTGGTGCGAAAAAACGATATTTTTTATTTCTTCACCAAAGGGGCATTTTAAAAATACCAAACCCGGTACCATTTGTACGTAATTATACAAGATATATGGCGCGGTTTCTTTTTTCTGTACGTACAATTTTACAAAAGGATAAAAAAAGAAGAAAAACGTTTTACCCGTTTTTGCAAAAATATTTAACAATGCACGACATGTAAAAATATAATATGAGAAAAAAAAAAATTTCGTCAAAAGGGGGCAATTTTTCCTTTCGTCAAAAAAAAAATAGCCCTAAAGAATTAAAAAAAATACAATACAAATATTGTAACGAATTATAACGTATACAAATCCCCCTCGTAAAAATTGCATCCCTCGCAACTGCCCAGCAAGCGATTTATTTATGTAAAATTATTTACCTGATTACTTAATTATTTGCTTAATTATTTCCTTAAAATTATTCACATATTTATTTACTTAATTATCTATTTATTTCCTTTTAACCGATCCTCTTAACAAACGGCCGCTTTTTTTTCTTACCCTTTTTACCAAAATGGAAAAGTCCAAGCTAGCCAAAGTTGAAAAAGTTTTGGGAAGAACTGGAAGCAGAGGAGGAGTCATACAAGTCAGGGCCCAATTTATGGGTGATACCGAATTGTCAGGAAGATTTCTGATCAGAAATGTTAAGGGCCCAGTGAGAGAAGGAGATATTTTAGCCTTACTCGAAACGGAAAGAGAAGCAAGAAGATTACGATGATCATTCGACGCTGAGAAGAGGAGGAAGGAAGGGGTGTTATGTGTTTTGCGAACGGAGGGGAGGAAGAAATCCGGACCATGGAAGGGAGAAGGACCAATGTCAGTATGATCTACGTGAGGAGGGCAGAAATGATTCTATTTATGGCCTTAATTGCAGCATGCCTAACCATCCGGCACGCATCATCGCTGTGTTGTAAAGAGCGGAAAAAGCATATATACCCCCCCCTCCAAATTGTAAAACTGATAAAAGGATGAAGCCACACCACATGTATATATATGCGCAGAATGAACTTAGGTCCAGTCGTTAATTTTATATACCCTTCTCTGCATCCCTTTCCCCTCCTTTTCATTTATCATATGTTTACGTGAATGCATCACCTCCTTTTTCTTCTCCTGGAGCATTTTAAACAGCGGCATGGGGGTGTAGACCCTCGCACGCATCGCCAGTCATACATAAGTGAACGCACGGATGTATATCTGCACGTATATGTGCACGTATATATCCACCTATATATGCACCTATATCTGCACGTATATCCCTGCGCCCCCGTTTTTTTCCTACACCGCCTCAACAGGGGAACCACGCGAAAAAACACCTTTTCAAACCGAAAGAAATAAAAAAGAAAGCTTTACACATATATACGTATGTATCCCCTCACGGGGCACTGCGCCGCGTTGACGCGTCCACTCCTTCAAAGTACCAATTAGTGGCAAGCCGTTTCAGTGAGTTGAAATGGGCACGACGGGCAAGGCGAAAGAATAGGACAGTTCTCCTCTTAAGGTTCAGGGTTTAGGGAAAATGCAGACGTGTGTAATCGCACAGATGAGTAGTCCCACAAAGGAGTAATCCAACAAACGAGTAGTCCAAACCGCGGAGAAGAACGAACCTCGACGCGAGTACAAACTGACGGATGTACCTTCTCTTTGCCGCGCATACGGCACAACTCCACCACGGTCTCTTCTCAACTTTTGGGCTGCGTCCATTTTAAGTTAAGGCGACCGGGGGGCTTCTTCTTTCCCGTGATCTGCAAAGGGGAAAGGCGGACGGGAAGCATTGTTTCGAATTCTTCCGCAGAGGTGTGTAAGGTGGAAGCATTTCCCCATACGTATTTATTTATTTACCCAATCACAGTTGCGAAAGGGTGGTTCCGAAAAAAGAAGGATCACCCCTAGGAAGCCACCGGACGAAGCTCCGCCCTGCCGCGTGGGAACACCTACCTCATATAACTTCTTGTATGTATTCGGGTCGGAAAAGATAGTTGTGTGAATGATGGAGTCTTTGAGGAATTCTTTCACGTTTAGGGTTTCTTCATTCTTTTCCACAATTTTGACAAAAACGCCTTTGTCGAAGAGGACTGCAGTGGGTGGGGGTGGGTGTATATATATGTATGTGTGCATGTGAATGGAGGTGAGTTTAAAAAAAAAAAAAAAAAAAAAATATCAGTTATGACCTCTTCCGAGGGGAAGTCGGATGATTGAACGAGGACCCCATCCCTAGACCATGCCGCTCCCATACGTACCTTTTGTTTGATTCCCCTGGGGACTAATCTCTAAAAACTCGCCGTCCATATTGTTATCTTTAAATATACCACAGAGTATGCGTCCGTCCTTATTGATGAGCCTACCCTTCCCGTGTTTCTTCCCTCCAGAATAGTTCCCCTCGTAAATAGCGTAATTCGGGTTGTTGTTCCATTTGTAGTACCCTTCGCCGTGAAACAATCCTTTCTCGAAATTCCCCACGTAAATGTCTCCATTTTTAAATTCATACCTTCCATTTTGAGATAAATAACCATCTTTAATATGTCCAAGGGCATGATCACCATTTGCAAAAAAAAATTCCACTTCTCCTACCTCCTCATCATCCTGGAATGAGCAAACATATTTAGTCTTCTCTGGAGTGATAATGGTTCCTTTTCCTTCCCTTTTATTATTTACGAACTCTCCTTCGAAGATAAATCCGTCTGCTGTTTTGTACACTCCATGTCCATGTCTTTTATCTTTTACCCAATCTCCTTCGTATGTATTATTTTCCGCGTCTTTCCATTTTCCCTTTCCTTCCTTTTTGCCGTCAAGAAATTCTCCCTCGTATTGGTCCCCATTTGCGTACTCCAGTAGCCCCCGTCCGTGCAGGCGATTGTTCTGCAGCGTTGAGAGGAAGAGAAGGGGGAGCACACGAGCAGATATGCACGTATGCCTGTGCCGATGCGTGCGCGTGCCCCTGTACGTGTATGCCTGTGCGCACGCCCGTTTGGCTCTCCTCCAGGGGCAGCCACGGGGGATGAGGCCTGGGCTTCTCACACTTCCATTGCAAATCCGCACAGCTCATACCTTCGTAGTACCCGTGTACACTGAGCCGTCGCTCAGCGTGAGGGTAACCGTGGGGAGGTCTTCGTACGGATTCCCCTCATCCCGGGTGTCATCCTCTGTCTGGTCAACGATTACCTTCTTAGGGCTTCCTACCTTTATTGCATTCTTAGTGCAACACCTCATTGTGAAGATCGAAAAAAATTGCCTCGATTTGTTCGCGCAGGTTAAGAGGCATAATTAGCGCGTAAAAAAGCTACACTGGAGCGGTTATATGTATATATATATATATATATATATGTATATATGTGCGTGCATATGCACGTGCGCGCGATCTGCTTAACGGTGACCGGGAGAGGCAGAACAATTCGAACGAGCCTCTGTTACACCGTCGCAGGGCGTCCACGCAGATCTGCCCTTCTCACAGAATTTTCGTCAAACGGTTTCGCGAACAGAAAAGTGACAAGGATGGCTAAGAAGTTGTAGTGTGCGTCAAATGAATGCTATGCTTCGCTGCCAAAGGTGGAGAATAGGAAAAAAAAAAAAACACACACACGTACACATGCGCAGAAACAAAGGAACAAACGAACAAACAGACACAAATGCATCTGTACACATATGCGAACGTAAATCGTAAAAACTCGCGCAACGTACGCATCCGCTGTGCGCACAAAAAAACGGAAACGTGTCAATACAAGGGCGAACGCGCCAATATATACATTATAGCAACGTTAGGGGAGCAACTGCCAAATTGTGGAGTAAATGTGAAGGCAATTTGCGCTAGTGTGTTACACGCGTGTACACTGGCGCACAGGGCTGTACAACATTTTTTTACGCGGCATGATCCCAGGGACACCTCAGGTGGCCTGCTTTATCTCCCCCCTTTTCACACTTCCCATTCATCATGCGAACCCGTAAAAGTGTAAAAAAAATTAAATTCACATAAAAGAGGCATTTTCGTTATTGTAAAGTTACGTCAACATGTAAAAGAAAAAATTATCCACGCGGGAGAAATGTTTCACATTGAGAAACTCTTTTTTTTTTTTTTTTTTTTTCATTTTATGGGAAATTTGTTGCAATATTTGATCGGCCCTTTCAAATGTAGAACGGAGGAGAGAGCAACCCTTTGGGGATCTCCCTTGTCATATTTCCCACTTTTGCGCTGTCGCTTGGAAAATTGCTAAGGTGTACATGCGTGTAGGAAGTAGGTACACCTGTACTATTGGAGGGAATGCGCACATGTACCAATTGGTGGAATCCTCCCGTGTGTCATTTGGGAGGGGGCAGGCTTCGATTCCACTAACGAATACTCACATGTAGGAAGCCACTTCCAGGTTCGAAGCCCCTCTCAGGCGAATGTCACGTCATTGTTCCCCTTCGGTTTTAAAAATTTTCCTTGCCAAGTGACCAACCGCAAGGAAAGCAATGACCCGCCGCCATGAAAGCAGCTGTGTCGGCCGCCTATAGCAAAACAGATTTCTCATAAGGAAGATGCCCCATTTGGAACATTTCCCAACAAAAGGGAATGTTACACGAATGTAAACCAATGTTACACGTTTGTCCACACGTGACAAAAAATTCTTGCACGCATGTCTAAGCATCTCACTATACATGAGAGTCAGCCTGGACGCGCATCCCACAACGTGACATCTTGCGCAACGGGAGGGGCTATACCATTTCAGTTCCAGTTATTAAATATATCTTTGCTAAAAA